CTGTCTCTACCACCGGCTGGACCAGCCCCACTAAGACCCAAGAATATCATCCCAGACAAGTAGAGAGGAGCTTGTTGAAGGAAAGAAGAGTACACATAGCCTTCTCCTCCCTCTCAGGTGTTCTGCCTGGTTTTACTCCTGCTGCTGGGAGGAAAACTTGTGCAGATAGTAGGTCGCTCCAAAAATATTTGGAGACAGCAAAAAAATCAATTTTATTTACAATATTGACTAGCTGCAGACCAGTGCCAAAAAAGGAATTTCAGCTTAAGTATCAGAGAATTTCTCTTCTTTATCTTCCCTCCCTGCAGGAACCTATAGAGGGTATCATGTACAATTAAATGGGATGTTTACAAGGTCCAAACTCCATGGGAAGTCTACAGAAACTAAATGAGGAAGGGCAATTTTTGTAACACCCTTTAGAACATTCAACAAGCTTTGAAACAGTGCTGGTAGGCCTCAGAGGAGCGAGGTCCATTTTAAAATTTTATCTCCTCATTTATTAAATGATGATGAGCTGGAGTCCCAAACACTATTTAATTTCAGAAACTATTTTCATCAGAAAATCTCCAAGTCTTGTAACACTCTTCTGCTCTGTCTGTACCCCTTCTTTGCAGCTGCCAGTGAATCAATCACATTTGCCAAGCAATATGTTAGATTTTACTCAACATAAGGAAACCAGATTTTGCCTCACACGGAATCAACTCTACTCCTCACCTCCAGAGGTTGTATGTACAGAAAACAGAATCTTCTATTCAAGGAAGGCAAAGAAAGGCAGAGGCTTTTGGGGAGGAGGAGGAGCAGGGTGTGAAATCACCTGACTGCACCAGTAATGCATCCAGCTTCTCTACATTCACATTCCCTTTTCACCTTCCGTGAAACTGCCTATAGCTGTGTTCTCTCAACCTTTGCTCTGAAAGATGATAAAAAGCAGTCTGCAAGATTATTTCAGTTTTTAAAAAGTCACTCTCGCATACAAAAGCCAGCAGAGAAATTAGACGGGTCTTAAAAAAAAAAAAAATGGCACCACCTCTCCCCACAACATTTGACTACTCATATTTTATTACAATCATAAATCATGGCCCCACTGCAGGAGGTAGTGCCAAATATTTTAAATAGTTCCATTATTCAATCCTTTGGAATAACGTAAGGTGAGTGTATTGGTCAGTAGAGTGTCTACTTTCATAAAAACCCTTTCTACCTTTCTACCATGTTAAGATAAGCCACTATTAAAAAACTGAGCTACTTTCATACTATCTTGTCAAATATCACCTGCAACAGGTTGTTCTTTATGTTTTGGAGGTCCTTACTTTTTTACTAGTAAAAAGACTACTGGAGCTTGAATAGGGTCTGAAAAGTAATAATGAACTTGGCATCACTGATTCAGCTCTTCTGGCAACTTGGAGCAAACAAAGTTTTAAGCAGCATATTCCATACTGACTGCCAACTCTTATTTCATATGATAGATCATGTCCATGTTAAAGATAGTGAGATAAAAAAGTTTCTCCAGCTCACAACAGCCTCAGCTGATACAAGATAATGCTTTGCAAAGCATATTTAATTATATATAAAAAAAAGAAGAAACAGACAAAATACACATACAAAAAAAAAAAACCACAAAACACTAATCTACTTGTCTTTATTTAGTTTGTATTACTGCTGGCACAAACAACGTAATTTGAGGTGTCTTGGAATTTAAGAGGCCTCCTCTGAACTTCTTTGGTTGATGTTGTGTCAGTCCTCAGATACAGTTGCATTGCTTCTTACACAACTATAAAGCTCTGTGGGCTATTGTGATAAAATGCAAAACTTCCACATTACAGAAAACATTGCTCCTTCCCTTTGTTTCATTTTCCCACTTTTCTGCTGAAGAAAGCTGATGTGAGAGGGACAGACACAGATTTCCCCCAAATCTCCTGAAATGCATATTGAATATTTGACAATGCCCACTTTTCTGTTTTCCTCTGCATGGCTCCATCAGAGAGAACTCCCTATGCATTCAAAGGAGCACAATGGATAATGATTTCCAAAGAATTAACTTGGAGCTATTGAGACTTAGATGTTTTCAAATACATCCATTGTGCACAAAAAAAATTCTAGACTACCCGAGCTACTCTAGAAGAGCCTTTTTTTTGCCTTTCTCAAAACATCCATTCCTTGAGCCATCCCTGGAGTGCATTATTGGGGCTGATTTCTTAGTGCAGTGAGTTCCATCAGTCAAAGCTCAACAGATTCAAATAATATCAGGATATGGATATAAATTAGTGAGACAGACCCTGAATAGTTTTGACAGGTTTAGTAAGTATATATAGCGACACAGAATGCTATTCCTGCTGTCAGACATCAATATGTAGACAGAAGATTGGGGGCACCATGGAAACTCAGTGACATAAGAGTGGTATTGATTGGACAGAAAATGAGGCTGCAATTTAAGCTTAAGGCTGCCAGAGATGCCAAGAATGGAGAATGACCTCCAGCAGTGAATTTTCAGCATAAGCTCCCTGTGAACGAGCCAGTCCAAGAAGGATAAATCAGGGACAATCTCACCAGGGATATGGGTCGACCAAATGCAGACTACCCTAAGCAGATGAGAATCACTGTGTGTGTGCACGTTACAGTGACCTAGTTTGTTCAAAGACAGCATTTTGAATGGTTTATTATAAAGAGGCTTGAAACAAAGAGACTTCCTCAATTAAAGTCCTGAAATGAATCCTCTCAATGAAAATGCTTTTGATACACTGATCAGCGAGAGGCTGTAAATATCGAAGCAAAGCTTGCATTGTTAAAAATCAGTTCCCACAGAAAACACCACTGTTGTAGTATATATAGGTAATGGGGCCCCCTGAACAGAGCGCTAAGTTTCATGAGCAACTTCCATTCTGTTCCTAATGCCCCAGTGTGCAACTTTAACATACAATAATCCCATCTTCCTGCTGCAAAAAATGCACTCAAATAGAGCAAGGGCTGAGTGACTGTAGAAGAGCATTTTTAATTATCATCCGAGGATTCTGGAATAACTGAAAAAGAAACATATGACTTGAGAAGTACCATGCTGGAGCCATGACTGCAAGAAGTCAGCTAAGTAACACACACCAGCAAGGAAGGATGAACCTACACAAAACATACATAAGCACAGGTGAGTCCTTAGTGCCAGTTGGAGCGTAGAAAAATACAGGTATATGGTAACCAGGAAACCACTATGCTTTCTATAGCCAAACCACGCAAGCTGGCAAAGATATATCAGGTATATCTCAAAGAACTGTTGATTGGCATGGCGATAATTGCAAGAAGTATGCTGTTGTCAGGCCACTTCTACACTACAGACAAAGAATAACTCATTCATGGAAGAAAGATTTGTTGCTAATTTCTCTTTTCTAATCTTAGATTTTGCTTTGAAGCATGCCAAAAACCAGTAAGCTTCTCTCCTTCAATTTCATCCAAAGCTTCATAAGTAATAACTCATCAAAGAGTTTAGTGTAAGCTGGAGACAGGTGTATTAGATCCCCTCATTTTCCTTCTATTTAAGGAAAAATCACTAAATTACACAGCAAGTTTTTAGTTGCTGAGTTTTGTGGGGGTTTTTTTTTTGTTTGTCATTTTCATTGAAATGTCTTCTCCATTCATTTCTAAGTTTTCATTTCTATACCAAATTAATAATTTTTGTCACAGCTATTCACATTCCTTTATCCTTTCAGAGGTAATTCTTCTCAGAGTTATTTTTTCTTTTGTTTTATTTCCAGGCAGTTTCTTTTCAGGGGGGAAACAGAAATACATTAAAAAAAAATAAAAAAAAAAAAAAAGTCTGCTTTGTACACCAGCTCAAGCACATTGTTTTGAAAATGTTAAGGACGAGAAATTCTTTATAATGACTTTTCTTGTACCCTTCACTCCTCTCTCTATTCCTTCTCTCCTCCTAACACAACCTAATACAACCAAAGTTATACACTTACTCAATTTGTTAACCAAAACGTTGAGCTTTCCTAAAAGCTTAGAATAGTCATGACCAAAGGGGAACAAAAGAAAGGACAGCGGAGTTGAAGTGCTGATGAGCTACTGGTAGTGCTCTTCCACTGTACTACAAGCCATTTAGGGCAAATAGGATCTAATTTAAAAGCCTACCACTATCCATAGCTTCAGGGCTATCTCACAGAGAAGGATTTAACATGTTGCAAATGTTCCCACAATGCTCCTAAGAACCTGCCATCCTGTAATCTAGCTTCAGAGCAAACTGCTGAACTAACACACAGTAGGCATTCACGACCAAAGTGGATCACTTGCCATACAGAAGAGATAGATATGTGACACCCATTGACTATATAAAAGTGTGGGAAAGGTCCCGAAGAAATGATTACCTTTTCCTTGCACAAAGTTCTGCTTTTAAGAAGAGAAAATGAAGGAGTGCAAGGAATCAGAAGCATCAGAATTGGAAATCATAGTACACTTGCAGAATCTGTATGCTGAGTAGGAGAAAACTGTATTTTCACCATTGGTATAATGATACTTTCTCCCAGCCAATCCCTCCATAAGAAAGAGAACACAAACTAACAACAGTAGCTATAAATAAATAAGCACTAGCAAGATTCAGCTGTTTCACCAAGAGAAAAGTAGAAATACAAAGGCTAAGTACAAATGAAAAAAAAAAATAATAGTAATAGAAAGAAGTGCTCAGACAGAAGATACAACACAACCTTGGTTATCCACAGACTCAGCCGGGACACTTCTGGCACAGAGCACCTGGAAGCTGCAGGAGTTCTGCTACCCTGGGGTCTCTGCTGCCCTCCTGTCCTCTTAAACTGGATCAGCCAGAGAACTCCTGTTCCCTTCTCCGCTGTGTCACATCCCCTCACCACCCCCTTCTTCTCCCCCTTTATCGCTCCCACGTCCCGACACATCCCCATCCCGAGCGGAGCGGACAAACCCACGGGGGATCCCGAAGCACCCCACCACCCCTGGGAACCCCCGGACCTCGGCCCCCGCCTGCCCCTCGGCCAGGTTCTCCCCAGTCATTCCCGGAGGGGGTAAGGGGGGGGGGGGGGGGGGGAGGAAATCAGAGGAGACGAGGCGGTACGGGGGAGAACCCCCGGGTGCGGGGTGATTGGGTGAAGCGCTTCGCATCTCGCCCGAAGGAGCGGGTTCGGGAGGCAGCTCCCTCCGGCAGCCCCTGGCAGCCCTCGCCGTCCCCTCGGACTTACTTCGGGCGGCAAGAAGCGCTTCTCCCGCAGCTGTAAGGGGCGAGCCGCGGGCGTCCCCGGTGTGCGGCGGGTGCTGCTGGTGCTGCGGGTGTTGTCGGCGCCGCGGCTCCGCTTCCCCACGGACCTCCGACTCACGCCCCGCTCCTCCCTCTCCCCGTCTCTCTCTCCCGCTGGAGATTTCTTCCCTGAGATTTTTATACTGGAGGCAGGGAACCTGATCCTCGCTTTGACTCGACAGACCCCGGGCTGCGGCGAGCCGCCGAGAGGAGGGAGGCAGAGGCAGGCGGGTGCCGGGGCAGTGCTAGCGGCCGCGCTGCCCCCTCGTGTGATGATGCGGCGGGGGTGCGTCGTCGGGCGGGTCACCCGCGGGGCAGCCTCGCCTCCACTGCCCGGGGGGGTTTCGGGAGGCGGGACGGGGCCGCTCCGCCCGCACACCGGGCTCCCGAGGCGCCCCCGCTGCGAGAAGAGCGGACCCCGCCCGCACCGGGACTGGGCAGTGCCTGCCTGCCCCTCCGCACCTAGCCCTGCTGAGGCTACAGCCTCCTAATGGGCACTAACTGGCTCTTGCCTGGAGAGGATTTGGCTGACGGGAGTACGGGGAGCTCTAACTTGACTTCCAGTGTCCCGCTTAGACCTGGACTGGAAATACTGGGTTGTGGGGGAAACAGCATCTAATTTCAGTTCTAGCTGAAAACGCCACAAGAACAGCTTTTCTCGTGGCATTCCAATGCTTCTGGTTGCTGGAGTTATATCAAGGTTTCCACTTTTTTTTTTTTTTTTTTCCAATTTTTTCAACTTTTAGGTTCATTACATGCATTGAATAAGAATGTACCCCAGCCCACAACTTGATTTAAAACAAAGTGGACTTGTTCCAAAGTCCTGGCAATTTCTGTCTAATTCCTGATCCCCAGAGCAATTCTCTCTCTCAATTTGAAAGACTGAGCCCATTGACTGCTTGGGTCTCAGCTTGCATCTCCTGCTCCAGGTTTGCACAGAAATCCAGTTCAGATTCCTCTCCTGTTTCCAGAGGAATGAGCTAAAAAAGTAATTTGTCTGGCACCGTACGCATTGCATCATCTAACACCTACCATCTGTGACAATGGAAAGCACTGTGTTGCTGGTCCCGGCGTGGGCAATTGCACCCACCTGGAGTCTTTCTTAGTAAAGTAAACTATTCCCTTCCATCCACACCTTGGCATCTTCTTTTCATCACGCAGTTATGTGTTTAGTCCTGGCATGGTTGTTAAGGATTTGCACCACTGGCAGATTTAATGACAGTGATGTAAGTTAAAACAACAGCTTTGATTTGCAGTGCAAAGTGGTGACTTGAGAAGGAGAGAACATTCCTTCTAACAGCTGGCTGAGTGGAAATGAGCACTCAATACTATACTTCGTGTTCATGTTTCAGACTATGCAAAGCTGAATAGATACCTGATAGCCAGCTTGCACCTTTCTGAGGGCTTCTCCATGAAATTCTGGCACTCCAAGCACCATGTATGTCTAGGAAAAAGCACTTCCATCAAAAAACACCTGGTAGTGGTTGACATTTTAAGCCCTCAGTGGTTCCCCATCCAACCACAATAGCACATTTCAGATGCTCAACTGTGTCCAGTTAACACAGAGGAAGTATGGAAGAGGATTAAGCCTGATCTGATTAATACCAAAACACATTGCATCAAAACGGGTCAAGAAATTTATTCTTTTATACAGAAACCTGTGCCTTGGCTAAAGACTGAAAATTTTTTCAGCTTCTAAGCCAATAGTGGAAACTTTCTGCAGAAACCAACAGCTTTCCACAAAAATGGTGCACAATATCAGGAGCATAATTTGTCTGCTAAATCCTAGAAGCAAACTTTGAGCAAATCTGGTTGCAGCCTTTCTCTGTACCTTGTTTCCCACAGCTCATGAATGAATTTTCTGATGCTGAGTTTACATGCGCTGAAATTGGTTTGGGGTGGTATGGCTTGGTCTAGACTCAAAGCCTAAAATAAAACTGCAGATGAGGTCAACACAGCTGCTCAGAGGACAAATGGCCTGAAGCACTTAAGAATGAAAAAGAAAGTATCTCAGTCGTTGGTAGACAGAAAGGAAAAGTGTAGAATGATTGAATCACAGAACATCCCAAGTTGAAAATGACCCATAAGGATCATCAACTCCTAGCTATGCAAGTGTGTTTTAGTGTTGTGTCTCATAGACACCTTGAGGCTTAACTGAAGTTTCCACTGCACTGCAAAAAACACTATTCAAATGCAGAAAGATTCTCTTTGCTGCAAATTGAACTACTCTTTGATGCCTTTGAAATTAATTAAGTATAACACATGAATTTCTTGACTGAATCTTTGCCACTGAGAGACAGGTTGTAAAGAGGTGGAAAGAGGTGAGACAGTTGGTCAATACAACTGTCTTGAAAGGATCTGTGTGACTACTTCTGCCAAGAAAAACTTAACAACTCCATATTAATCATTGCCTCAAAGGTGCCTGTTGTGGTTCCTGATGAAAAAGAATAGGGTGCTATGGAGAAAAAGGGTTGATGGAAGGCAGGCTCTGACCATTCATTTCCCACAGGGATGTTTTCTTCATTAAAAGAGTTGTGAAGCTGGAGAGGTTTACCTCAAGAACTTCTCTACTGTTTTGTCTCTTTCTGTCAAGGCTTTATTTCCTACATGATCTTTGGAGCAACGGCTTATTGTAAGCTTCCTGTAACCTATAGGAAAGTCCATAGTGAAAAAAAAAATAGTCTTGTATTATTACTTTCCTGATCTGGACACACAGATGACCCTGAAAGGAGAATTTGACTCCAGATTCTAAGTGTCTTTAACATCCTCAATGTTCATTTACAGCTGCAGGTTTCAAAACAACAACAACAACAATAGAATACAAAACAAAAAAAGATGAAGAATGGACTGGCAGCTGTGGAAGGCCAAGTCCGACTTCCATGTATCTACGTTGATATACAAAACCATAGCAGTGATAGGGCTGAGGGCTAGAGGTAACGAAGTTATAAAAGGACTTCTGTGATGCCACTTGCAAATGCTCTTGTAAGCAACCCAGAAGAGTTAGATACTGAGCATTTTTATCTGAAAATGTTCAAGGCAGTCTTGAGGAAGGAATGTCATGTCATCACGTTAGCGCCAAAATGTAAAAAACCACCCATAATAAATTCCTTGTCACTGAAGGCTTTTTTCCTTTTAAAAGATGTGAACAAATCTTCCCTTTGAAGCTGGGCTTTTCAGTACTTTCAGGTAATCATTTTACCGGGAGACATTTGGACCTTGTCAGCTTCCAATGGGAGCTTAGCACCTCTTTCCTGAGATGCCCTCAAAACACTCTGACTCTGAGCCTCAGAGTACAAAGTCAAAAGATGAGGTTTTATGTAATTCACTCCCAAAAGGTGATTTGGGTCTCACTGCTGACTAGAACGAGGACGTACTTTTCAAAAAGCAAACAAAGCCACTTGTGCACCAGTTAAAAGGTCAGCTTGGTCTGAGCTCCCTTTGTTTGCTTCACAAACACTGTGAGTATCACTTCCTTTCTTTCAGTCTCTCTAGCCATCAGCCACAGTAGCTCCAGAAAGACAGAATGTGAATCCAGGAGAGCAGAACAGAGAACTGGAGTACTGCTTAAATATTTTTTCACCTTTTGCTCCATTGTTTTTCCCAAGCTATTGAGCTGCCAAACGCTGGCAACTGAGTGCCCCATATCTCCACTCCTCTGCTGAGATCGAATTTCCATTAGCGATACTGAATTATTTAGTGAATGCATCAAACATGGAAATCAACCACTTCTGAGCCGTGTTCCTTCTCATTCTGTCTCTCATTTCAAGTCCACCCTACATCAGGCTTTTGATCACCAGGACTATCAACCTTATAATTAGAATAGAAAACATCCATGGAGCTCAAAAATATATATAATTATTAACTATATAATGTATTAAAAATCTATTTTCCCAGGTGTACGCAGAAGAAGAGAAACAGAGAGTGAAAACCCAAAGAGTTGTTTTTTCACAGAAATACGCTAAAAAATACTGATGTTTTTAAAAGTAAGCCACCATGCCAGACCTTGGTCTTATGCTTCAGTTAGCAAACTATAAGTACGTGTTGCAACTTTACACATTTCATTGGTTCTATTTTCTACAATGAGATTAAAACTCACGTGCTCAAAATCATTCATGTGCAAGCATCTGCATGTTGCAGCTTGAAACCCACAAATACAACACAACACAGCAAACCTTTTCAGACCCCAGCATTTAAAAGAATGCCATTCATGTGTTGACCTCTCTCACTATTTTCTTCTTTTGTGCTGGCAATCCTGGGAATGGACGTCTTACATATTCAGGATTTGAGATCTATTTTATATATATATATGAAAATATATGTCAGCAAAAAAAAAAAAAAAAAAAAAAAAAAAAAAAGCTATATAAAAAAAAATTGCTTTCACTTTTTTTTCCTACTTAGATAAATTTTGTTCATTTTACGTAGGTTTACAGTTTGCCAAGAGGTATAAAACAAAATAAAATGGCACTTTATTTTAAAAGGCAAAATCTTTTCCTTTTTTTTTTTTTTTTTTTTTTTTTTTGACACTGTATTTTTGGGTAAACAGTAATTCTAAATAAAATCCAGAAACTAAATATTCTTCCATTGGAGTAAAACCAAAAAAATGGACATTTTGATTTCATTTCAAACTTCTGGCAGAAAATTACTGAACCTATGGAATGAAAATATCCTTTTCACTTTACCTCAGGAAGAGGTTGATTTTCAGACATCTAGTTTTTCTCAAAGCACTGTGTGTCTACCTGCCTAATTATTGGCTTTAGAAGTAGTAGTATTAGAAGCACTAGAAAGTAGTAACCATTACCCCACAGAATCAGCCCTTAATGCTTTGTTAGGGCAGTCAGTCAGTATCAGAACTAGTACTAAGGAGCTTTCCTCTGAGCACTGAACTGAGATTGTCAACTTTATTCTCAGTGACAAGCCAGTGGTAACAAATTTGAGGCACTAACTGCACAGTGAGCAAATGACTTATAAATAAAAACTATTCTAATCATGTGCCAATAAGCCCAGCTGTAACATACAACTGTTTTCCAGTTGTAAGTAAAATTATGGTAACCACATTTAGATATGCACAATAAGTACTCTTTAATTGTAATGTTTATATAATTTAGAGGGAAAAAAATATCTTCCTTTAAAAAGTAATTACTCCTTCAGTGGGAAGCTACCATTAGGACACTCTCTGAATTTACAGCAGCATGCAAACATACATTATGTATGAACAAAGAAGAAATTCCACTTATAAAAATGCTCTCTTACCTTTTAAAATGATTTGTTTGTCAATTTGGAAAGGGTTCACCTGTGTAATTATGATTATGCTAAACTTTGTATTTGAAGACATAAGTGGTTTTGAAATGTTTTCCTTATGTGCAATCAAATGATGAGACGCTCTCCTTCAGTGCGAGCATGGAACAGACAGCTTAATCCTTGATTATAAATTTCAGTGAAATCACAGCAATAGGAGAAACACTGAGAATTTAATATTGGCAAGTAATTACTAAGCATGTTTAGAAATACCATCACTGAGACTGCTTTATAGCTTTATTCTACCACAAATATCTTTTGAGACTGTTGTGGCTCAGACTCCATTTACAGTTTAGTACTACTTCAATGGATAATAGTAAAATTTTGCATATACCTTCAGAGGCTTTTATCTTCACTTAGGAGTGAAGTCAAGCCTGTAAAGGACTGAGACTCACAGTGGTCCAAGTAGCAGAAACTTATCAATACAATAGGACATAATAAAACTAAGGCCCTCAAAATTGTTACCGCTGAGGACAATAGGGTTGCAAAGCTATTCTAGTAACAGCCTGCTGACATTTTCACAACTAAGTACATTAAAAAGTGAAGTCATTTTAAAGTTAGGTAGTACTCTCACCGTAGAAGCATTTTTAAAGATAAATAGCAAAAGGGAAATTTAGGACATAATGTATAAACATAAACACACAATCTGAGTAACCAACATAAAGTTCTACTGTCAGAAACATAAGAACTAGAAGATAAACAGCTTTGTCCTGCACATGTGCATGCTGTGTTGGTTAATGTAATGGCCATGATTTTCCTCCCTAAGAACAAAATTATATACATGTGTTCTTAACTTACTGGCAATTTCTTGCTTGAGATTTGAGCCAGTTGCATTGCTCCCTTAAAGCTCATAAAGCACAACAGATCTTTGATGGAAGCTCCTGTGGGATGCTGTTGGCTTCAATGTCAGCTCGATCTAAGTTTTCACACTCAGGCATTTTACAAAATGTGACATTATCATCCACAGACCTAGACTTCAAAAAAAAAAAAAATTAAAATTAAAATTCTTCATCATCCACATTAAAGGTTTCATACTAATGTTAAAGAATGGAGACTAGTACAGACAATACTAGCACTCCTTGCTAAATAATATCTGCTTCTCCCCAGAGACACAGTTTCCAACATTCTGCATAGAATTAGACG